GAATTCAGTATATCAACAACCACAGAACAAAGTCAAATGCTGTGGGAAAATCTATATATAAGACACTGTGCTAAAACAAAAGGACGTAAAGTCAAGAATGATGTCAAGGTAACAAATGAATCCGAACAGAATGCAAAAGGGAATGGCCATTACAAGTACATATTCAATTGCTTTATCATATGGAGTGTGTCAATAAATTATCAAATAAATTATCAAATAAATATCTATAGGAACAGTAAATGAATTGTGAAGAAAGAGAAGAGTGAGAAAGTTATAATTCAATGGAGTGGAGGTAATCCTCAGGAAGAGAGGTGAGATTTAAAAAAACAAAAGCAAAAGAGAGGCAGTTTCATCTAGTGGTTAAGGTGCCAGTAGACTGAGTTCTAGTTCTGAAGGCATGAAAAACTATCTAGGTGTCTTTGGGCCAATCATTCTCTCTCTAACCCACTTCACGGGGTTGATGTGAGGAAAACAGGAAGGAGTATTAGGGATGTTCACCACCTTCAAGTTATTTATAAACAATAATAAAGGTAGGATAAAAATAAAATAAATTTAAAAATAAAAAGATGTTATCAGTATGTGTATGTGGGAGAATGATTATTTGCAAAGATAGAAAGGTATAAAGATACACTGTGAATGTGCTGAAATAAATTAGATGAAGTAAGAGTAGGTATTTCTTTTCACTATTGCCTGTCGTTTATTGCTTTTTAGTCTTTTCTGCATTTTGCACACAGCACTTTCCCTGAAAAGTAATAATATTATGGGCATACATCTAAGCATGTTCTTTGATAAAATACGTAGAAGAGCCCTTATGACGAGTGATGTCTAGTAATTTACTGTATTTTGCGTACTCTTTTGAAGATATTTTTTATTTAATAGTCACTACATGTGTAAATTATTTCCTTCACAATTAAATGAGGACTTATTCCAACCCATCATATTTTCAGCTGGAAAATCATACAGAGATCTGGTCAGTTTGATAAGTAATTTATTTTCCAGCATATTTGTCTTTCACGGATAGCTGAAAATTCCCTTGGATGCACTGTTTAACTAAAGTGGATAGAAATTTAACATGGGAGTTACAAAAATATCTGAGCCAACAAAATCCAATATTTAATAAGGAACCATTCTGACAGTCAAGATCCTAGTCTGAAAACTAATTGCTGAATATAATGTCTGTAGTGACAATCACAGTTCAAGAGCTCTTAAACCAAAATAGGCAGCACAAACAACTAGTAAGGTTAAAAAAAATTGCCATGGAAAAAGGTTGGAATCTACTTATTCAGGCAGTTAAGAATATCTTTTTAAAATCTGGTTTTTGGCATATTACTGCCATTAGCAGTAATGCATCTCAGTGGGAGAGTGCTATCCCCAGAACACAAGCATGACATTTTAGGGTTTAATGGATATATGTCTTGCCTTCTTTTGTAATATGAAAGTCCTCCCTGAATGGTCAACCATGAAAGGAAGATTATGGATTTGATCTCTCATCTAAAATTAGAGAACATTTTAGAGATAGCTGAATTCCTACTGAACTAATTAAAAAGTACTATCAATACTGGGTACTCCTGAGAATAGCAGAGCATAACATAGAACAATAATATAAAAGATTATCCAATCTTTTCTTATCAAAAAACAGAAAGTACATAGATCTAAAAGATTGGGGAAAAATATGGAGTAAAATCTATATATTAACAAGACTGGCAGCTTATAAAGAGAATCTATATAAGATGTTTTACCGTTGGCATTTGGCACCAATGAGATTGGCAAAAATGTATCCCAATGTGAATCCTAGATGCTGGAAATGCAAACAGAACCAAGGTACCTTCTTCCATATGTGGTGGCTTTGCCTGAAAGCTCAAAAATACTGGGCCAAAATACGGAGTTGGCTACAAGAAATAGTGGAAGACCAGATAAGAGTTTAAACCTGAACTGTTGTTTTTAGGAATAATAAAGGGAAAATATAGTAAAAAGATTAAATATATGATACTACACATAACAACAGCAGCGAGGATTGCATTTGAACAATGTTGGAAGCAAGATAGCATGCCACCGGAGGAATTAGTAATTCAAAAGATTTTGGATTGTGCTGAAATGGATAAACTCACGCTAGAGTTAAATGATAAAAAAGAGTCAGAGTATTATGTGGTTTGGGACAACTGGTACAAATGGTTGAATAGTAGAAATAAGAATAATAAAGATAAGAAAATCGTAGATAAACATATGTATATGAATGTATATAAATGAATATAAATGTATGGAGATTTGTATATGTAATAATGATGTCATACTACCATTAAAGATGAGAGTAAGGTTTGTAAAATGTGAAAAAGCATAATAATAATAATTTAAAAAAGCAGAAAGTACAGATTAATAGCTCAAATGTGCTGCAAAAGTATCAAGTCTTTGCTCATAGAAGAGTCTTTACTTTGGACTCACTGTAGTGCTTTCCTTCTTACTGATAGAATAACTTCCCCTCTTGGAATGCTGATGCCTCTATGATGATGAACAAGTTGAGACAATTGAGCTGTGCTGTATTGACACTTCTACAGAGATACTTGCACTGCTTTATTTTCTAATTCTGACTACAGACTGCTCAATTAAATGCTATTTGTTTTTCTTACTTTGTGACAGCAATTCTTCTATAAAATACAGTATTGTAAAATTTTGTGCAGTAGCACATCTGAGTTGCAAAGTACCATTAGATAATAAACCCTTCTAATTTTGTTGCCATTCTTGCTGCTGTTACTTTCAATCAGTCTTGACTCCTTCTGATTCTTTGGCAGATCCGTGCAAGTTTTTTTGGCAACATTTTCAGAAGTTACCATTGTCCTTTTCCTAGGGCTGAGAAAGAATGACTAGTCTAAAGTTAACTATATCTGTATGGCTGTTAAAACATTGTTTTTATTGTGTATTATTACATAATTAAAAATATGATATCAATTTCTTTTATTTAGGAATTCTCATATTAAAATATTTCTATCTTTTATAGTAATAATTTTCCATCTTTGGCCATTCATTATCTACTGTGTTTCCCCGAAAATAAGAACTGTTCTTATTTTCTTTTTGGGCTTGAAAACAAGCACTCGGGCTTATTTTTGGGGAGGACTTATTTTTTAAGTGCAGGAGATGGAAAGTGTGGGGGCTGACAGGAGTGAGAACATAGCTATCACTGGCCTCGCGCTCTCCGTCCCCTCTCTGCTTGCCCGCAGCTGCAACTAGCCAATATCTCAGCATGCTCTAGCATCCTCCCGCATTGTCTGATGGCCCAGTTGCTGCTGGGACACTTCTTGGCTGCAGTGCCTCGCAGGGGCTCTTTGATCTCCTAGCAGGGCATGTGGAGGCTGGAATAGGCTGAGGGCTTGACCCCGATTGAGGCCGCGGGCAAACAGACAGTGGGACAAAGAGGGCGGTGGTAGCCTCCCAAACACTTTTCACTCAGATGGAGACTGCGATGACCTCGGACATGGCACAAAGGCAACACAGTCACATAAGTAAGAAAAGTCCCTTTAATACCTCCAACTTTGCCCCCAATGTCCAGTTACTTTTGGCTGGAGGAAAAACTCTCCCCAAAACAGTCTTTAAATGAAGGAAATTCAGTCCGAAAACAAAGTACATATAAACTGTAAATAGAAATCCACACAAACCATGCTGCAGCAATTAACAGGACAGGGCAGGATAAGGAATTGCAGACTTCAAAGGCCAACAAAACACACACAATTGGGAGGACGCCAGGAACCCAGATAAGCCTCGACAAAACAAGATAATACACGATTTGTTTCCAACAAGTTGCTGTGCGCAAACTCCCTTTTTAAACACTGTATTCCCAGCTGCAGCTAATGAAGGCAATCAGGGCCCTTTCCTCCCCCGTAAGCCACGCAACTCACATTGCTCCCTTCTCCATTCCTCTCTATGCCCTAGGATGAAGAGGGGGTGGGCCTGGATCTTCCTCTGAATTCCCTCTGCCTTGCTCTACCTCTCCCCTACCCTGCCCAGCTGGACTGTGCCCTTCCCCAGTTTCTTTCACAGGCAACTCTCCCTGTCAGCTGCTCGGCCTCCCCCTCGGAACCAGTTTCCGACAGGGGCATGACACTGACTGAATGGGTAGACTCCCCACAGGAGGCCTGGGAAAAGGCCTAAAACAGATATTAACAAAAGCCACAAAGATGCAAAAAGAGTAGGCAAACAAAAAGTGATCCCCCCACACAAGGCCATTTCACACAGGGGAGAAAAGCTTTGTTTGCTTGCTCCATTTCAAACTGTCCCCTTTGCAAGCACACAAAGCTTTAAATCTCCGTCATTTTTCTGTGCAGGCAAAAAGTGCACAGCACTGTTTGCAAGCAGACAAAGCTTTGTCTCCCTCTGGGTGAAAAGTGCATAGCAAAGCCAGACGGAGGCAAAGGTGATCCCAATGCGCCACCCATTCTGTCCTGTGGTTGTGCTGAGCAGGTGCATGACCGCCTGCTTCCCCCATCCCCCATGCCTCTGATTCCACCTGCTGCCGTGTGAGCCTCTCATGACCCTCCCGCAAGTTAGGCAGCCGTGCAGCTCATCTGGATCACCTGTCTTCTCTCCCCGCCTCTGCCTCTATGCTTGGACTTAACAACATTTGCGCTGTGCCAAAGGGCTGACAGAGTACAGCTGCTGCAGGAAACTGTTGGCCCCCTCATGCTTGCCGCCTCTCATGCTGGCCATGCCCATCCCCCAGGCTTATTTTCAGGCTAGGGCTTATATTAGGCCAACCCCCAAAAAATCAGGCTAGGGCTTGTTTTCAGGGTTGGTTCTTATTTTCAGAGAAACACAGTACTTTCACCTAGTCAGTATCATGTTATCATCCTGTCTCCTCAAAAAGGATACATTTTAATTTAAACTGTACATGTTACCTGTGAATTCAATTGGCTTTTAAAATTGCAGTGTTCATAAAGTAGAACCCTCATTTGTCATCTATTATCCATTTACAAGAATGACGGGAAACATGGGATAGTGGTAAGAATGCTTACCCATACCAGAAACGAGGATCATTGGAAATGCAGTGGTTGAGATTTCGCTGAGCCAAAGCCTTTTTTTTATTTAAAACAAACTCTTGCAATTTCATTTTTACTTCTGTACTTGCTACTGCGCCTAAAAAACCAAACCGAAAGAAAATAGATATAACTACATATAATTGATGAATTAGGTCTTGAAGAGTTATCTGAAATTTTTAACCTTTCTAATATTATAAGCTGTCAATATTTTGATAATATGAAATAGGTAAAGAATTAGAACCCGTACTTGAAAATAGATAATTATATTTAACTTCTTCCTATAAACAGAAGATCAGTTCAGTAAGATTTCAGGAATAAAATTATACAGAACAATACTTACAGAAATTTAGCTTTTGTTTAAGTAAGTATTCATAAAATTGAGGATTTCTACATATTATTTTTTGTCACATCGCTTATGTACAGAAAAAAAATCTCTTAAAAATAGTTCTTTTTTTTTTTTCATTTTATTTGAGCAATTCTATATAATCTTTATATAAATAATTTGGTTTATTAAACAGAAAACATGGCATGTAAAGCAGGAATGAATTCCAATTTGAGTTCTCTCTTTTGCTATATTTCTGATTTAGAAACACAATTTCCTGTATTGCTGTAGCGTCCCTATGATCGGTTGGAAAGGTGAACAACCGTTGTGGAGCTGTAGCTGCCCCAAATTTGAAGAGGTTCATATGTAGCCTTTGGAGAGGGGGGATCTATTGTATCTTTGAATGGCCATTAAGTGACCAGTTGTACACAGAAGACTATATGTAAATATCTCTAAGAATGTTAGCAATCCTTTCCAATATATGCAAATTCTAGCCTTTCTCATTCACCAGAGTCCCAGAAATCTACCATGCACATGATTCTGTAATGCCTACATAAAAATTAAGTTAGTACCAGAATGTTTGTCAATTATGAACATTCAATCTTGCAGAATGGAAAAGAGTTAGAAGGTCTGTTCCTGTATTTCCTGCAAATATCCATAACATTGGAATGGCAGTTGATACTGTAAAGTTTGACTGACTTGGTAACATAAAATAGTGGCTTTTAAACACATGAATAAAATTGAAAGAACGGCTAATCATCTGCAACATATTTAAGGTGAGGTTCGTTCTGTCAATATGCACAGCACTCAGTCCAACTGCCCTTTATCAAACTAGAAAAGGCAAGAACAATATCCCCTCAGAGCTATTGTCTTACAGCAATAGGTAGGAGGGACTTATAAAGTATAGGAACAAAGCCAAACAAAAATGGTTATTAAAATACTGAAAATAATGAAGGAAATCAGATAGCAGTATCACAATCCTCGCAATGTTTTCACTGTGACTTATTATTTATTGTATGGCATATTCACATCGTATTTTAATAAAAAGGAACACAGAGTAAAATACAAAACACAGAATATAAAAACTGTAATCTTTAATAGGAAGATTACAAATATCTAAGTTACAAATATTTTTTTTTATTTTATTTGTCACACCATGAAATCATTTTAAGTTCTGTTTTGACACACTGTCACTATGTGTTGGATAGTTTGTTTTTCAGCCCCACAGCGTTGTTAAATATGGACTGAAATGTCTGATAATGTTCTCAAGGTGGATTTATGCCAACAGGGCTTAATCCCACAAAAAAGTTGAAACGTGGAATATATTAAAAGACACAGATTTGTAGGTGCAGCATGAAGACACTGGTGAATAGCCTTAGGCTACATTGGGATTGAAGTTCTAATGGGTATATACCTTTCAATCCTATCTATAAAATAGGGTCTCAGTTAGATTATTCAAGTTAAAGAGGTAGGAGCAGTCAAGAACAATTTATTTTTTGATATATTTGTTGCAGAGAAATATGTCTATTACATAAGCATAATACCTAGCTTGCTTTTACTTACTTTCTTTTCCTTTCTCTTTGTTTTTAAGCTGCTGGAGTTTCTGTTCCCTGTATTGTTTTTCCAATTCTTGCTCCTGCCGGTGCTGTTCTAATTTTCTCTGGTGTTCCAATAGCTCCTGCTGATGTTTCATTGCTAAAATCTCCTGTTGCTGCTGTTAGGCCAAGAAAATAAAGGGAAAGTAAAAATGCACACAATCCTTAACCACTCAAGTCCTAAGAATGTTACCTTGCTACTTGTCAAAATAAAGCATTTTAAATCAATGAAAAATGTACATTCTAAATAAGAAACCAAGGGAGAAAATGAAGAAAAGATGTGTTTGATGATATCACACCACAGATTCTTGCAAGCATACTGAACAGTATTTTTGCAACATAATTACGTATCTTTTTTTTTAAAAAAAAATCACCATTCAGTAATTAAAAAATTCCACAACTTCTACAAAACAGAAGCAGAATTATAATTCTGCAATAGTGGCAAATATCTGTAGCTCAGGTGTAGGATGAGGGTGCAGGCTTGTTCTCCAAGCTTGTGGGTTGGTTTCCAAATGTTTGTTACCAGGCTAGATAACATCTTCAGCAGAGTTTAGGGGATGTCAGTGTCAGTGTTCTTCTGTTTATAAAGGCTTCGGGTGTCGTGTGTCAAGTGAAAGTCTTGTGATGGGTCAGCTGTGAGTCACCAGTGAGACTTGTGATGAGTATTGTGATAAGGAGATTACAACAGGTCAGGATCATTGGGAGATGAACTGCTGGGGGGGTGGTCAGTAAGGGTTGGTTGAGGGTCAGTGCTGTCTCTGGTTGGCTGTGCAGTTGATTTGGATTCTGAGGGGTTCAGACTTCCAGTTGACGTCGCGACAGAACCAAAAGCAGAGAACAGAGCTCTCAGTTCCTGTGCTGGCTTCTCCCTGTTTGTGGGCTCTGGAGGGAGCTGAAAACCACTCTGGAGGGGCAGTGAAGCCAAGGAGGAATGCTCCATGAGGGCCGGGGAGAGAACACAACTCTCCTGTGGAAATCCACAGCTTTTTCCCTCTATGCCACGATGGAGAGAAGAGGCTGGTCAAAATGGCAGCCACAAGGTTGCGACAACCGTGACCATCTAAGCGCTGAGCAGGAGCAGAGAAAGTGAACAGTGTTTGGAGCAAGACGAGAAGAATTTTTTCTAATTAAATAAAGCCCCAAAAGACTATTTAAAAAGAGAACTCATTGGCATTATTGGAGCGGCAGTATAAGCATTGGGAGAAAAATCCAATTTAAAAAACAACGGAAAAGGAAAAGGATTTTGAAGGGTTTGTAGGTTTGGACCAGTTTGACTGGAGCAACAAACATCATTGGCCACACTAACACCTGCCGTGCTCATGAGTTCATCGAAGCCAGGCACTCCACAAGCAATTCCATCAACAGACACATTGTCCTACAACCAGTCTATGAACATCTCAAAATCAAATCAACTGTCCACACAACCCTCCCCAACAGAAGTTCACCTGCCAATGACCCTGAACTGATGTAATCTCCTTATCACAAGACTCACGCCCTAAAGATACCTTCCCTTTATGGGATTCACTTGTTCAAAATACAAAACAGGTTTTGGGATAAGCTTGCTATGTTTCATTAGCTCTTCATGTATCCCTGCATCCCTGAATAATTTAAACACTTTCTGTACTAGATATCTTCTGCTTTGGTAATAAGAAGAGAGTCTTTATCAATACAAGATGAAATATGACAAAATTCTGGAAAGCAGATGTATGGTTATAGAGACGGTGGCAGTACTAGAGGTACTACATTGGTTAGAATAGATTTGGTTCTGATGGCTATTGGGTATAATCCAGAAAAGAGTGATTAGATAGCCTAAAATGATTTGGGTAGTTTTTGTACTATTAAAAGCTCATTTGTGTCTGAGTAGATGAAGTCCACAAAGTTTTTGAGGGTGAGACTCACAGGAGAATTTCTGAAAAGGAAAACCACTTTGGAATCTAAGAATGAGGATGTGTCAGAAAACAGATGGAATAAAAAAAGACCAAAAGGTTATGTCTGATGATTATAAAGTAGTTCCACACTAATTCATTGCCTGTGAGATATAGAAAATTGCCGCTAACTTAATGTAACTGCTTTTCTTAAATCTAGTTAAATAGAGAATTCCTGGTGCTTAAAAACATAGAGGGATATAAATATGTTAACATATCACATATGTTAAGCAAAGAGACTTGAACCTGGGAAAGTGAAACTGAAATTGCTTTTTAATGTCTGTTAATTTTTTTTATGAGTCAATAAGGTTTTATGAGTCAATAAGGTTTTGACTTCTTTGTTTGCTTGGGAGGGTACTCCCTTTTCAGAGCAGGGATTCCTTTTCTTTTCTTGCCCCCGCCCTGGGATTCCTTTGGCACAAATTTATCTTTTTCCCTCCTCTGGGCTTTTTAAAAAAACTACCCCCCTCCCCACACACACATGCACAGAGGTTGGATCTTTCTTTCCTCCTGGCCCCTTACAAGCAGCACCCACACAAATGACTTAGTTGGCCATACCCACCCAGTCACATGACCACTAAGCAACGCCCACTCAATCACATGACCACAAAGCCACACCCACAAAGCCACACTCACAGAACCAGTTGTTAAGAAATTTGAATCCCACCCGTTTGCAGAGAAGGTCGGACTAGATGACTTCTAAAGTCCCTTCCAACCTTATAATTCTATGAGTTGAAGCAAAGTGGTTCTAATACATAACTTTTTTTTTCTGATCTGCATTATATATACCCATCTCTCTCCTTCTCAACATGCGCTCACCCACCATTTTGGCACACCTTTTCTTTTTCTTTTTCTTAAGTGGCGCTTAAGTTTCTTTGATCCATGGAGATTTAAGTATTTTGTGTTCTCTGAAGGGAGAGCATTCATCAATTTCTAAGCTCCATTGGTATTGAATGCTTCTTTGGACTACATTTTTCCATATGTTGGTCTCTACAAAAGGGATATTTTCCTGTCCTCTGGTTCCTTTTTTTAATCAGATTAACAGAGTTAGAAGGGACCTTGTACTATCGGTCATCTAGTCCAACTCCCCCACCCACGCAGGAAACCCTACACCATCTCTGACAAATGGTGTTTTCCCTTCTCTTGAAGAGCTTTAGCTGTGCTGTTCAGGAAATTATTGTTTTCCTCGTGTATTGTAGCTTAGCATTAATTTATTCTTTCAATATGAATATATGGTAGCACTTGTAGCAAAAAGACAAACACATCTGTTGATCATGATATTTCCTTCACTGTCCATGTGGTTTGCAACCTCCCCCACTGAGCATTCTAGCCAAATTCACAATGTTTTTCCCATGTAACTTACTCTGGTTCTAAGTTTTCAGAAACCATCTTTCTGAACTAGAACAAAAAAGAATAAAAAGAGGAGAGGGGGAGGAAAGAAATACACTCCCCTTTCCTCCCACACGAAATTCCCTTGGTAAAGTCCTGCTTATTCTCGTTGTTCACTTACTCACTGAGACATTATGGAAACTGAATTTCTTGCATATCAGCAAGAGTAATATTCCAGTCAGTCAGCCAATCAGGGAGGCAAGCACGCGGACACACACAAAAATTGAATTTTTAAAAATATAATAAATATATAAGAACCATACGCTTGCACACATACCCCACATCCCTGCCCTTCAAACTGCATCACACACCTTTATGTGTTCATGTAGTTGAACTTCATGTTGACGAGAAAGTTGTTCATGCTGTCTCTGGAATTCTGCTATGAGGATCTGTCTCTGGATTTGTTGTTTTTGTTTGAGGGCTAACAATTCCTGTTGGAGCTGCTGTTCACGTAATGTAGGTTCAGCCACTGATATGGAGAATTGATGATCCACGTGAAAATCCATAGGTGAAACTTGCAAAGGTACTGTTGGAGACACATCAACTACAAAAGAGAAAAAGTCAATTCACCTGCAATTATTATTCAGTAAGATACAAAATATTTGCCCTATGATTTATATTAAATAGTGTTAAATCTGGAGTTTGAAAACCTAACAGTGTATGATAGTGTGTAAATTTCAGACTAAAGCCTCTTTTCTTTCTTTCTTTCCCTTTTATTGTTATAAATCTTGATATTTTATTTTAATTTTAATGGTCACTTCAATAAAATTGTATTTATGTAATGCAGTTATAAATTATTAACATTGTATTATTTATAAAGCTTAAGGCTGTGATGGCAAAACTATGGCATGCGTACCATAGGTGGCACGCAGAGCCATTTGTGTTGGAATGTGAGCTGCAGACAAACTTACCTCACTGCGCATGCGCGTGCCTCACAGCTGATTTTCGGCCTCCCAGAGGCTTGAGGAAAGCCTTTGCAAGCTGAAAAATAGGCCCATTTCTTCACTTCCTCTATTTCCGAAAATACCGGAAGTGACAAAACGGGCCCATTTTTCAGCCTGCAAAGGCTGCAGAAGTTTTCCTCAAGCCTCTGGGAAGCCGAAAAAGGCCTCAAACGAATCAGCTAGGAGGTAAAGTGGAGGGAAGGGGGTGGCACGTACATGTGCACAGGGGCCACACGCATTGACTTCTGGGAGCTGGCACATGAGCGCATACATGTGCACAATTTTTGGCATAGGAGCCAAAAAAGGTTAGTCACCACTGGCTTAAGGTGTTGAAAATAATTCTATGAATATTAATCATATTTTAAAATGTCAATATATCAAGCATAAAATTATTTAACTTTTTATCTAAAATTGAATGTAGCATGAAAAGAATTACTGTATTTACTGTATTTATTTACAGTAAATACGTTGACAGTATTTTTGATCTGAAGTCTGTTTTCCTAATGCTAAGGAAAGTTTTTGTCAAGAGTTATTTGCTTTCACCTAGTTACTTCTTCACTATCAGCTTGACAACAATCAGGAAGGGAGTGGTTGGAATGTCTGGGGTGGGAATGGAATGTCAATAATCCTGCAGGTAGTGGGACCCTGCTGCCACCTCCAAGGTCATGCTGCACAAGTATTTTGAACGATGCAGGCTGTACTCATAACAAAAGGAGCAGATTCAATTGGGTAACGCAATGAACTTTAGGGGGATGGCCAAAGGGGGGAAACAAATTTAATTATGTGGGTTTCACACGGGAAACTAACAGCTGATTTCGCTTCTTCTGTGCCAATGTATTGCACTCAATAAAGTTTTACTTTTTGGGAAGAACAATGTCCCAGGAGTTTTCTTTTTGGATTTGCTATCTGGACAGCTGACATTTTTATCCAATACATTGCACTGCTATTAGAAATACCATATATCTGTCTCTCCATGTTGCAAAGCATAAAGATGATTAAAATATCCTTTCAATAGTAGTATCCTTTTTGAGGCATATTGATATTTGAAAATAACATGGATAGGAATTGCAATTTGTTTTTGAATGTTTACTGCTGCATCTAAATAAATGTCAGTTGCAAAGAATCAGGACCATTTTGCATCATAGAAGATTTATTCAAACCTATACAAAAGAATCTAGTCAATTGTCAATGGAATTCATGGTAGGATGGAGTCAGGTCCCCTTTTGGGATGCTGCCATTCCAATGAAGGATGGGAAAGAAGGCTATCAGAGTACATTCCTTAATTCTTTTCCAGATGTTGACTGATATCAAAAACTTAAGAGGCACTGAAAACCCCACATAAGCTCTCTCCGAAACAAGCATGTTGGGCGCAACACTTTCAGCGGTTTGATTTCACTTTGCGCTACATTACGGGGAGGGGAGATAATTTCCTAGCTGATGCGCTTTTGTGGATGTCACTATACAACTGCTCCAAACCAGAAATAATCAAGCCAGTGTTCCATCTCGTCAACTGGCATCCGAAGTAACCATCAGAGATGTGGCCTCTGCCCTAAAAAAAGGAGCTAACAGATGATGAGTGGTGTCACAACCACAGTAATGTCTGCTTCATCCAGGGTGGACTAGTTTGGGTAGGAGCAAAACTGTATGTGTCAGCTAGTCAAAGGTTCCTGATTATGAAGACATGCCATGATTTCAAAAGCAGCAGGACATTTCAGATTTGTAAAGACATGATATTTAATAAAAAGGCAATTCTGGTGGTCTTCCCTTAAAAAAGACATTGAAAGCTATATCCAGTTGCCTTGTGTGTGCATCTGCCAAATGGAGACAGGGTTAAACACCAGGGATCCTTCAGATTGTAGCAAGTCATCAGCACCCTGGAGAGAGATCTCTATGGACTTTATTGTAGAACTCCCTGAAAGCGCAGGAAATACAGAAATCTGAGTGGTGATGGACTTATTTTCAAACCAAGTGCCTTTTGTCCTATGCCAAAAGACAGCCACGGAACGAGGACTCACTAAGTTCTTTTTGCATCACATCTACAAACTACATGGTGCACCCCAATGTTTCATATCAGATAGTGGGGTTCAGTTCACTTCTAAGTTCTGAAGGGCCTTTTGGGACTTATTAGGCACTGACCACTAGGTTCTAGTCACCATCTACAAACAAATGGGGAGGTGTAAACGAGCAAACCTGGTTCTGGAACAGTACCTTAGGTAGTTCATCAACTATCAACAAGGCAACTGGGATGATCTTTTACAATTTGCAAAAGTAGCTTACAACAATTCTGTACATACCAGTACTGGTTTCACCCCTTTCCAAGTTGCAACTGGTCAGGACTTCAAGCCTATGCCCAAATTGCCCACCAAGGATCCTGTGATCCCCTCAGTGAAAGACTGGATCGGCCAATTACAAAATACCTGGCCGGACATATGCAAGTTATTTACTAAAGCCAGAGAAGCAGACAAGAAAAGAATCGTATCTTTCCACACAATACTTACAGTCACTGAAACCTTCTAAGAAGTTGGGACCTAACTTTGTAGGGCCTTTCCCAATCAAACACATCATTAACCCTGTTATATCTGTTATACCTGCTCAAGTCCCTTTGTAAATTCCACCCCATTTTTCATTGTAGTTTGTTGAAACCTGAGGTGTTCGCTCTCCTGAGGCCAATCCCTCCACCTGTTCCCAAATCATTCATGGTGGAAGGCAAACAACATTATGAAGTTAAGGAAATATTAGACTCCCATAAATATTGAGGGACCCTTCAATACCTGGTAACATGGATTTTCCCACCGCCCAAAGGGAATGGGTTAATTAACGCCACTTTAGAACACCTAAATTAATCCAATGATTCCATACCCTGATAAACATAAATGATACTAAATGTTGTTTTCCTCTCCTGTTTATTATGTTGCTGCAGGTATAAGGCCTCTTTCTTTTGGAAAGGCAGCATGTCAGGTCCACTTCTGGGATGCTGCCATTCCAATGGAGGAGGGGGAAGGAGACTATCAGAATTGCATTCTTTGTATGCTTTCGCTTTTTTCTGTAATCCCGGGGGATTTAGGGAGGGGAACTATCTTGAAAACAGATGAACTTCCTCCTAACAAGTTCTAGTCTGACACCTGTGCATCGAGGATGAACTGTTATCAAGCTAATGCCTTGGAGTTCTCAAAACACCTATGAGGTACTGCATTGGCTACTGGTGGACTGGTGAAGAAGGGTGGGGTTTGAATTGGGAAAAATAGCTTAACCCTTTGCATGGGAACTTCAGATTCTGCCTAACTTTTCTGCAATCACTTTCTCTCAATAAAAGTTCCTTTTGATAACTATTTGTTTCAAGAGTCATGCTTTCCTGAGGGAGTACCTGGGACAGGCCCTTACATACAAGCTGGATTTGCATTTCTTGTGTCAAGGACTCTAAATTGATGGTACATTTAACTCTTTCCCCCCACCAAGTCTACTTGTTCTTCTCTTACTGGACTATGAAATCATTTAGGTAGGGTAATAAGAAATCCAGGAACTTATAAAAATAGTATTTACTTTTCACTAATAATGTAAGAACATACTTCTAGTTGGAACATCAAGCTAGATTTCTAATGTCAAAAGTTTTTGTTGTGGCGATTTTCAATCTCTACAATGACACTATCGAGTCATGGGTGACTCAGGACTGCATGGTTGCCATGATGACCAAGGACCTGTTATTTATATCCAATATATTTATCAATTCCTGAACAAGTGCTTAATTGACTTTCATCCATGCTTTGTCCTTCCAAAGATTCCAAATCTGCATTCATGGAAATTCTCTAAGTTTCTATGATTTGGGTAGAAAATATGCAAGATTGAAAATTCTAAAAACAATATGGATATTGCGATAAAATTTCAAATATGGGGTTTTTTGGATATCAAATACTTAAAATGTTATGAATATTTTGAACATGGGAGTTTTTAAAACTCATGACAATTGGAAGAAACAAATCAATGTATCCTCCCTACTAAAATATTCTGGCTATCAGAACTGAAGTTTCAGATAGTCTGAATCCTATCCTTTGTGCTCAGAAGGTTCCTTGTTTACTATTGAAGTGGGAAGCACAATCTTTTTTACCTATCTTTCAGGAAAAATCTTTCCAAGAAGTGACAAGACTGACCAAAATAATCATTTTATAATGTGAAGATGGCTGATTATAATTCTTTCTTCTTAAAAAAGCATCCTCAGAGGCATGTGTTCTTCCTCATATATTATTTTTCAGACGTTCTATTTCATGGTCATCTGCATTTTGCATTCTTTGAAAGAAAATATCAGAGGGAGAAAATTCTGACTTTGGGTTTTACAGATTACACTGATAGATCTTTATAGAAATGGCTTGTGTATACTATATGGAAAGGCAAAAAGTTGTGATTTGATGTTAATGCCTTATTTTACTGTAACAGAGTCGGACGTCAATGCTTCTTTTTCTCCCCCCCCCCCATCTTTCCTCACTTCTCTTCTCCCTCCCCCCTTCCCCCTCACTGTTCTTCTATTCACCTTTGTATTTTGTATTTTATAATACTTTATAACTGAATAAAAATGCCAAAAAAGAAAGAAAATATCACAGGGAGAAAA